GAATCTTGAATCTTGAATCTCTTACTTGCATACTGCACAGTGTATATATTTTTAATTATAGTCTTTGTATGTTCTATTATATCTTTATAATATTTTTACTTAGTATTCTTTATTGTAATTTTTTAACACATGCTGCTGTGTATGATGTGAATTTCTCCCACAGGGATCAATAAAGAAACATCTTATCTTATTTTAAAATATTATAAAAAATGATATTATATAAAAATGTACTCTAGTATCTAAAGTGAAAAAGGCAGCAAAACGTCCCCCCTGTCTGTTTTATATTTTACTTTATTAATTTATTACTATTACTGATGCACCAATGTTTAAGCAGCATTTTAATGGTGCAGCTGGAGCTAATTTTACCTGCTGTATACTGTTATTAAGTTTAAATTAATATTTTACCTTATATACATACATAACTACAGCTGTTAAATGAATGTAGGCAAGTATTAAGTAAAATGTAGTAAAAAAATTGTTGATATTATAGTACAACTACCTCAAAATTGTACAGAATAACTGAGTAAATGTACACTGTTGTGGTCTGTTTGATTCAGAAACTGGCCCCAAACAAACATCTAAAGACAGTGTCTCCAATGTTTGCCATCAGTCAAGTGGCCTATATTGATTAACGTTGTGTATGCATTGCTGGAGAAGATTCATATGATAAAGTGACTGAATTTGTGTGGTATAGAATCAAGATTTCAGAAACAGGATCAATATGAAGAACAAAAAGCTAAAACGTCACAAATTAAACAATCAAATGTGGAACAACTGATTTCCACAAGAGAGCGCCATTAAATTAAAGATCTTCAGTTGTATCCCACTGGACAAAAATATATATAATGCGCTGTGTGACTCAGTTACTTATTATTCTTTCAAAGTGTGGCGATCTTTTGCCCTTGTTTAATATTATTTTATTATATGAATTAAACCCCAAAATAAAAAATTAAATAAAACCTGAGAGTACATCATACTTTGTCTTTTGTGCCCTTTTGGATCTCTATATTACAAAGGGTGGCTACTATCTAATGCTGTGTAATTTAAACATAATCCCATTCAGAAGCATTAAATATTGTTGAGAACCTTTTCATGTTGCGTTATTTAACTCTTTAGTAATTTCTGACACCATATTTATGGTTTTGTATTAAATAACTGCATTACATTAAAGTAGTGTGAACAAAATAAATCTATTACCAAAAGTGGATCATATGTTTGACTACACCCAGACTAACATCTGCATAGACAGTCATTGTATCCATTTTTGCTTGCCAACCCCACTGATGTAACCAAATCTAGTTCAGAGACTGCTGACACTTTCTAAAAGTTATATTTAGCAAGAAGCCTCACCCATTCTGGTCCCCGTTATAGACCGTCACCCTTTGAACTGCTGTTTACAAGAGGTCTGTGAATCAGTTTCTATATTGTACACAACTGTACTGCAACCCACCGCCCCTCATCATCGTCAACTGCCTTGTAAATCAGATCAATTACATGACATTTTTACCATTAACAACAAAAACAGAAACAGTTTTCCAACAGACTCCAGTGCATTTTATTATGTTTGCTCAGATATTCATTAGAAACAGCCTGCAAGAAACCAATCTCGTAGCAGATATAAATTAAAATTTCCTCGATCGTATTATATTAATGCTAATAAATTCTGCTCTCATTCCTTTTAAAATGTGGCTCAATACCACCAAATAGTGTGTTCTTTTCCAGCAGATTGGGTTTAAAAAGCTCACCGAGCTACATAGCTTTGATGAAATTTTTTGAAAAGATGGTTGGACAGAAACAGGGGGAAAAAAAAAAAAAAGATACCCTGGTGTGAATTGTGGTGACATGTTTGATGGTGAAAAAGTCCCTCACGAGTGACATGGACAGTTCACTCTCAGTCATTAACGTTTAGCCACACCAAATGGAGCAGGTGGTGACAGAGACAGCTAAGCTTGACACACCCGGAGACACAGGATGTCTGTTAAGAGCTGGAGCGACTGTAAGCCAGAGAAGTTAGAGAAAACTAGTCTGAGCTGAGCACTGCTTTCATGTGTGCTTGTATCACGATCCCTGTAGCGGCCCTTTTCACATGGCTTTCACTTTGATCTGCTTCATCTTCATCTGCTTCTTCTCAATCTTCTTCTGCTCGCGTCTCTGGGCTGCTTCCTGAAAAGAGAACAAAAGAAACATTTTCAGTGAATTACTCCATTCGTGTGCTTTAAAAATTTGTTCGATATTTTAGGAAATATGCTGATTTGCTTTCATGCTGAGAGTTGGATGAGAAGACCATGTCTGTAATGTAAATATGAAGCTACAGTCAGCAGCTGGTTTAGCTTAGCATACGTACAGGAAACTGCCAACCTGGCTCCATCCATAGGTAATAAAATGTACCTACCAACACTTTAAAGCTTAATTAACAAGTTATATATTGTTGGTTTAATCTGTACAAAAAGATAAGTGTAAAAATTTTATGGTTTTACAGAGTATTTCTTAGCTCGGAGCAGTCATTTCCTGTAGAATTTAATTTTTACACTTTTGTTTTTTTACAGATTAAACAAGCAAGATATAAAATGCTAATCTAGTTTTAGAGGTGCCAGCAAGCAGATTTGTTATTTTTGGACGGTCGAGCTGTTTTCGACCCATTGTCAGCCTTTATGCTAAGCTAACTGGCAGCTGGCTCTACCCTAAAGATGTGTGTTAGAAATCTTCTCATCTAACTCTTCGCAAGAAAGCAAATTCTCCAAAATTTGCATGTGGTTTTGCCAATTTCAGACCTCCAGACGACGTTGTCTCTCAGGGTCCTCCTCATTCATGATCCTCTCCTTCTCAGCCCTCTTCTTCTCCTCCCGGCGTGTCTGGGCCGCCTCCTGACGCTGAGCATGAGTCTGCTTCAGGAAGTTCTCCTCCACACGGGCCCGGTTTCTGTCAGCTTTCTGTTTGCCCTGAATATAGAGAAGAAAAGGGACTCGTAGCTGCACTTTAAACTTTCATTTGAAAGCACAAAATAGAGCACACGGGTGAGGGGTTAATTGGATCAGGCACCACAGCACTAGAATCCTGCTCACCTCTCTGTTGAGACGCAGTTTCTTGACTTTATCGATGCTGTAGATCACCATATTCATGAGTGGGAGGAGAGCGTCCATGTCTCTGGGAGAGGTGTTGCCCATGCCAGGCACTACACACACACACACAAACATTCAGTGTACATTAGTAAAATGAAACCATTATGAGGTTTTTTCGGATAGTACGAGAGACAAAATGCTCACCATTAAATGTAAACAGCAGCGTCTTCTTGGTCTCAGGCAGCTTTAAGGGCTGACCCTCCCTGAAGAAACAAACACGGGGACATTTAGTACCACATAGAAAGTAAGAAAATGCTAAACATGCAAGGGATTACAGAGATTAAATAAATACTTACTCTTGCATAACTTTTGGACCAGAAAATTGGTCCGAGAAATGGATGGACTCGATCTTGTCAGCATGGTTGGTGATATAATGCACCATCTAAAAATATACCAAAGACAGATTCAGACACACGAGCCAAATCCAGAAAACCCTGTTCACTATCCTGCAGTGCCTCTTTGTAGTGATGCTGTATGAGAAATAAGACGAAACTTCACCTTGTTGTCCATCACCCCATCTGTGACCTCGCCCATCTCACTTAGAATAGACAGGGAGTCTGGGATCCCGTACTTGGCCCCAGACTTAGGCTTGTCCCCGCAGAACTCACTCTATGGAAAAAGAACAAAAATGAATGGCGTGTTGGAAAAACAATGAAAAAATGTCTGTGAGCAACAATGTAACAGTGTAAACATGAACTACAAATAAGCTGATCCATTTGAGTAATAACAATAGTCCTTTATAATAAAGATAGTTTAAGGTTGCATCAATTTAATGTAAACAGGCGGTGGAGGATATTTACCAAGTCCTGCATCTCCTTCTGAAGCCTGGCCATGGCCTTCTTGGTTCCCACAGCAAACACAAAGGTGTCCATGTCCTCGTCATTAAGAGTCACTTTGATTTGCTACAAACAGACAGATGCTGTTGGTGAGACAATGATTGATGGCACAGTCCAGTGTGTCCATGTTTTGTGCTCCACAACGACTCATCTGAACGGATATTTGATTTGGTACGTACCACTTGGTCACACGCAGGCCTCATCATCCTGGCCAGAACGTTGAGCAGATCCTGCCTCTTCAGAAACTGGAATAGACCACAAGGATCATTACACGGACTGTATATTTAACACAACACACTCACACATTGAGAACACACACTGTCCATACCTTGAGCTGGATCAGCATGCCTTCACAGCACACACGCCCGGAGCACCACAGATTGTAGATGTGTTCATTTTCCTGATTCAGCTTCCCAGTGCTCACTGCTTCTTTACTGGTGCCGTCATCACCTATAACGTACAAATTATTAACAGTTAACACTGCTTCATAGCTTCATGCATTTGATCATAACAAGGAACAGAACACAAGCACATTCGGTCGGATTTCAAACACTGCCGTTGGACACTGGAGACAACTCACCCACTAGTGCAAAGTTGCTCTCTAGAAGTTCTCTGTGTGAGTTGAACCAGGCCTGAGCGAGGCGACTGTTCTTGTTCTTGCCAATGATATAGTTCATGATGTAGGCCAACAAGCCGGTCACCATCAGGATCTCCATGTAGTAACTCTCCCAGCTGTTCTGCAGATGTGCAGGAACCTGCAGAGACACAGCAAGCGGTCTAATTACAGCTCAACCAATACTGGATTGTTGAGATTAATAAAAAAAAAAAACATATAACATAACCAAATCTTGATGTGGATGCCTTAGATTTATTTCTTTTTAAAGAATTATAACCAGGACGTCTACTAAAGTGAGACCTTTTAGAGTTTAAAAATCAACTTGTCAGTGCTCTCTGGTGAATAAACAATGTATTGATAACACGGTTTCTAAATTCTATTCTAAATAAACAGTTATTTCTTGTTAAATGTTGGCCACCAACAATACCAATATATCTGCAGATAAACAGTATCAATGTAAGTGAAACGATGGTAATTCAGGCTACAATCAATCAGTTTACAAAGGCTACAGTTTCAGTGTGGCCTTTGCTGAGCTTCCATGACAACAGTTTATGTAAATGATGCCTCCTCAATAACCAGCAAAATTCAACAGCAGCTACAAAACAGTGGAGTAATCTGCATTTCTACTGATTTCATATTTCCTCGCAGTGGCCTCCCACAGCTACAAAACAGCATTTCCATCACAACGACGAGATAAATTGTTAATTTAAGCCTTATAATGCAGCAAACACAAATGCATTCACAGCAGAAATGGTGTGCACCGTCAGAGCCGAGGCAGATCACAATCAGCAGAACGCAGTATGTGAGAAGATTTTAGCAATAAGCCCGGCTTACCGTGTGGATTATGAGGGGGTCCTTCATGGAGTGGCCTGTCTTCTCCATGTCTCCAATCCCCTCAAACTCTTCCTGGTCATATTTGCTGTACATGTCTTGATCCTAGGGAAACGTAACGTATACGAATAATATTTATTACGGAAGCTGTGCTCAAAAATTAAGGTGTAAGCAGAAATACAAGGCAATGTACCTGCGTCTCCGAGTCCTCGAAACCGTCTTGGCCATCCTCCAGCTCCACAGTGGCTTCATCTTCATCCTCATCCTCCTCCGGCTGCGAGGACGGCGAGGCGCGAGGCGGAGGGGCGGTTTCAGCCTCGGCCGCCGCATCGTCGTTCATGTCCTCAAACTCAGCAAAGTCATTGTCGTCAAAGTCTGCTAGGTCCTCGCCATCGTCAAAGTCGTCATTGTAGCGTCCCCTGGACACCGGAAGGGCCAGGAGGAGCAGCAGGGCGGGAATCAGGAGGAGATTCGCACTTCGCATGGTGGGACCTGAGGAAGAGGAGGAGGAGGAGGAGTGAGAGAGTAAATAAGGGCGGTTAAAGAAGTGACAGAGAAGGTCAAATGCCAGATGTTAACAGGCCTAATGCTACAAAAAACAGGAACACAACTTTCTAAAAACAAGAAGTGAAGGACGAAGAAATCAAATCAGTTCAAGAACACATGTTACAACTGCAGGGTAGTTGTGTTTTCTTTAAATGAGTTCACGTTATAGTGTCCTGGGAAGGATTACTGGTGTGGCCTCTGGCTATAACGACAAAAACTGCGCATAGGTTACATTATATCACAGATATTATATTATATCATAGCATTACAGTAACCAAGTGAGTGTCTGCTCACACAGTGGGCATTCACGTGATAAATCCCACGGAGAATAAAACCCCTGCGGACCGAGACTAACTAGAAAACAATGACTAAGGAGGAAAAGGAACTCCTGTGTGCCAACATTGGGAAATGTCTCTGAAGAAAAGTGCTGTCACTGTGTTAATGCTGAGTTAAGCCGCAGAATATCAATATAAAAACACTTTAACGGCACCGTGAAGGCTCGACTTAGTGAAACTTAAGGAGCTGTTTGTGGCGTGTGGTTGAATCTGGTGAATTATCAACCAGCAGGCGGTCGGCCAGCTCCGATAACTAAACAGGCTGTGACTGACTTTCCACGTTTTGGTCTCAAACTAACACCACGTACTCACCTAACGACATATACAGCGTCCGGATTAAACCACAAGCCGTAATTATGTTACAGTGCCAAACCCATCCCCCCTCTCTCTCTCCCTCTCTCTCTCTCTCTCTTCTAGCACTCACTCACTTTATCATTAGCTGTTTAGCATGCTAACGGTGGCTAACTAGCATGGCACCTTGTTGCTGGCGACCAACCCTCGATCCCAGCATTTCTTTATCGATCTTAAACTCTTAAATTAGCCCTAATTAAAACACAAATCGATTACCGAGCTCACCTGGAGAATTACTGTGACAATAAACCCCAACGCTGGTTGAGCTCAAGTAGCCTGAACTGTCCTTGTAGTGATGTTTCGCCTGAAGCAGCAAACCGACCTTTCAAAACAAAAGCACCGCTCCCTTCAAACGCGACAGAGATCACGTGACCTGCACCTTTAACTCGTGTGCGCTTTCGAATGTTTTATTTTGAAGGTGTTCGCCGGATGTGCGTTACGTCAGCTTTGACGTTGGTTCTTTTTATGTATTTGGCGCCCTCCGGCGGCCACAGCGAGTAACTACAACTGGGTCTAGTTTTAAAATAGTTTATATATAGTTTTGTTAACATTAAATAGTGGAGTAGAGTGAAAACTGTTTGTTCTATTTTATTTCTTACGTTTTGTATTGTTGTATATTTATTATATTGTATATTACTTACAAGATAACTGAGAACATGACCGCCACAAATACATAAAACAATGATGAGACTTAATATCGGGGAGGAAATCTTGCAGACTGGAGCAGAGAAAACAACCTACTCTGCAGCAGGTGATTAAAAACCACTCAGAAGATCATCCATATACCCAGCATCAGTGATACTGATCACTCTGCTACCATAAAGGAAGAGGGAAAAACTGTACCACAGCTTCTTCCCTCAGGCTTGTGATTATCATACAAATGTTTTACTTTTTTATGACTCATTAATCCATTTTTATTCTTTATTTCTGTAAAAGTATCATAAAGGGAACTAAATCTAAATAAAATTAAATAAATTCTACAAGTTTGTCTTGTAGATGACAATACAATGACCTTGAAATCCAATATTGATCAAAAAGTCAAATATTGTAATCCAAACATACAAATACAAAGTAGAAAATCTTATTTTTAAATGCTTTAATTACAGGAGGAGATTAAAATAAGAAGTTTATATTGTTATTGTCATTATGCAACATCCCAAAAAGCACATTTTAATGTATAAACTTGTATATGTATATGTATATACTCGAATGTCCCTCGGGATAAATAAAGTATCTATCTATCTATCTATCTATCTATCTATCTAATATTCTATAATCAATGGTATACAAAAATGCCCCTCATAAATGAACACTGTACGTGATGCATCATGTCCCATATGTAAAACTTTTTATGTTAGAATGTTTTTACTTACTGTTACTAGTAATATTAATCTTTTTTACTTTTCTATATTGGTAATAGGTTTTTGTTACTTATTGATTTTACTATTGACTTAATGTGCCGGTATCACAAAGAAAAGAATTCATTGCAGACAGAGGAAAACTTGCTTTCTTTTTGTTGCATATGACAATAAACAATAAAAAACATCTTGAGAACATTGCTCCAACGTTTAAGAAACTTCTAGTACACAAAACTTTTATTTTTGAAATGTTCCATCACAAATGAGTTATATCACAAAACAGGATGACATGTGCTAGAAAGAATAAATATGTCTTTATTAATGTGTGTATGGACAATGAGGCAGCTATTTCACTCGATTTAAATAGGAATTACTATTTAATGCTCTAAAACTCCACGTTTAGTAAAACTTCTAGTAAACAAAAACAAGGTGACATCTGCCTAGAACCTGAAAATAAAATATGTCTTTTATTAATGTGTTGTTTGGACAGAGGCGCTTATTTCTATCTGGAATTAAATAATTACCTATTTATGCTCTTTAAACCTCCAAGCGTTTAGAAAACGTTTCTAGTAACGAAACTTTTATTTTTGATGTTTTTCCATCACCAGTTGGTTTAATACACAAAACAAGGTGACATCTGCTAGAAACCCTGAAAAATATGTCTTTTAATAATGTGTGTTTGGGCAAGGAAGCAAGCTATTTGCTATCGTATACCTAATTTATAGTGCTCTTAAACTCCAAAGTTTAGAAAACTTCTAGTAACAAACAAAACGACACCTCTAAGAAACGAAAAAAAAAATGTTTTATAATGTGTTGTTGTGCAAGAGCAAGCCTTATTTCTATCGGTTATAAATAGGATTCACCATATTTTAAGTGCTCTTAAAATTCCACGTTTGAAAACTTTCTAGTTACAAAAACAAGGTACATCCTGCCAGAAACTGAATAATTATGCTTATCAATGTGTTGTTGGGGCAAGAGCAAGCTATTTCGTATGATTAATAAATGGATTAACTATTTAAGTGCTCTTAAACTCCACGTTTAGAAAACTTTCTAGTAACAAAAATCCAAATAACGACACCTGCCTAAAACTGGATACAAAACTTTTATTTTGAAAAGCAGCCCCCCGGAAGATCACCTGTATTCTGTTGAACTAACAGTTCTTCAGCTCGTAGCGACTAATGCTACTCTTTGTTAACGAAAGTGGTGAGTAATCTTGCTCTAAAAACAAGACCTGTCTCGTTAAATGAGCCTTATCCCGACCCGGCGCCCGCCCGCTCGCACAGCCGACACTTCGCCTCGCAGGACGAACTTATTTCGCGGTGAAGTAACGCGTTGTTAGCCGGGGAGAGAGAGAGAGAGAGGATGTCTCTGCACGGCAAAAGAAAAGAGATCTACAAATACGAGGCGCCATGGACGGTGTATGCCATGAACTGGAGCGTCCGTCCAGACAAACGCTTTCGGCTGGCACTGGGCAGCTTTGTGGAGGAATACAACAACAAGGTGCGTAGTGTTTTTCGGGGGTTGTAGTCATTCATCGAAAGCTAATGCTAACGGGATAGCCAGCTAGTGCTAATGCTATTCGCTATTTGTGACCCTCGTTGCTCTCTGTCGTTTTTTTGTTGTCGTTTTTGTCATTTTTTTTTGGATGTGTTTGCTCCTGTCCAGGTGCAGCTGGTGGGTCTGGAAGAGGAGAGCTCGGAGTTCGTCTGCAGGAACACGTTTGACCACCCGTACCCCACCACCAAGATCATGTGGATTCCTGATACTAAAGGGGTGTACCCGGACCTGCTGGCTACCAGTGGGGACTACCTGCGCATCTGGAGGGTGGGATGTTTGTTTATGGTCATTAATAAAGGTTAAAACCAGTGCTGGCACATGCTGGTGTATCGTTTGTGTGTCCACGATGACACCTGCAGAGACAGAGAAGCTCTGGCTGCAGTCAATCATTCTCCACTGTGGTGTAATCTAGTTGATGTTGTTTTGGGGGGGGGACATCAGTTTGTGTTCTGTTCTTTCCTTTTCACTCCACGCAGGTCAGCGACACAGAAACGCGCCTCGAGTGTTTGCTGAACAACAACAAGAACTCAGACTTCTGCGCACCCCTCACCTCCTTCGACTGGAACGAGGTCGACCCCAACCTGCTGGGTGAGAAGTCCACTGTGCGACCGATAGTGAGGAGGCTGTGAGGCTTCTGATTTGTTTTAGTTCAACGTGTGGGTTCTTCCTGCAGGCACATCCAGCATTGACACCACCTGCACTATCTGGGGGCTGGAGACCGGTCAGGTGTTAGGACGCGTTAACCTGGTGTCTGGACACGTGAAGACCCAGCTGATAGCCCATGACAAAGAGGTCTGTGTGTGTGTTTGTGTGTGTGTGTGTGTGTCTGTGTGTGAACTGTAAAGTGAAACCTTGTGTGCTTGTGTACGCAGCTTAAAATCAGAGTTAGATCGACGTCTGTGTGTGTCCCTACAGGTGTATGACATTGCGTTCAGCCGTGCCGGAGGTGGAAGAGATATGTTTGCGTCTGTGGGAGCCGATGGATCCGTCCGCATGTTCGACCTCCGGCACCTGGAGCACAGCACCATCATCTATGAAGACCCCCAGCACCACCCGCTGCTCCGCCTCTGCTGGAACAAGCAGGACCCCAACTACTTGGCCACAATGGCGATGGACGGCATGGAGGTGAGTCTGCTGTGGATCCTTCCCATTGTCCATTGTAAGCCAAAGAAGTCTGAGATTTCGTAAATCGTTAAAGGACTTTTTGACTGAGAACTCCGCATTAATACTTCTGTCTGGGTGTAGGTGGTCATCCTGGACGTACGTGTTCCTTGCACTCCGGTGGCTCGGCTGAATAATCACCGCGCCTGCGTCAACGGCATCGCCTGGGCCCCTCACTCCTCGTGTCACATCTGCACTGCAGGTAAAGGCCCCCTATAGATGGTGGACTATCTTACAAGCTCACTGCATGTCACACTAAATGGGTCTGATTATGCACAGTGTCAATTTTGAGGCGCGTGAGATTCAGTAACCGTCTATAACCGTTCTAAGCAAAAATAGACAGGGAAAATAATCTGTTCATAGTCGTATCATCATACCAGCAACATGTGCACCTTTCACTACAGTTTCAATGTCTATATCTGTTGAATATGTCCCATACATGTAAGAAATACACCTCCTGTATCCATTTCTGATGCTGCTGCCATCCCTATCTTTCTACACTGAGTTTGCCTTTGATAAATACAAGTTTTGTCTGACATGGTCTGTGTGCAGGAGCTCAGCCCCGCCTGAAGTTGATCAGGACATAGAATTGAGAATCACGGATTTTCTTTGGTATTGGTACCGACTACTAAATTTCTGGTATCGTTCGGTATTGGCACTTGGATTTCTGCGTACCAAAAAAAACAAACAAAAAACTCAAAAGAGAAGGAGGACAGTGCGGACACAGTTGGGGAAAACAACATGTAAGAACAAGTTTGAGGTAAATACGTGTCTTAGCAGTAGCATTACACATACTCAGTGGTGCACTCTGCGTAATTTAATGTTATATGTTGATTAGTTGGTTTTTAAATGTGGGTTGTTGCAACTGTCACCTTGTAAGAGTTTGGTCCTAAATACTGAATTTTGTGGCATCCTGTCTTCGGTTGCCAGAGCTCTATAACCAGCCATCGATGGTCCCAGTAAGATCTAAGACCACCGTTTTTAATAAACAACTAAATTTTCACCAAATTTCTCTCTCACAGTTGCCAACTTTGTCTAAAACAGCCCAAACTCATACAGTGTGAAGCTGCTTTCCCTTCATACCCTGCCCTTTCAGTCTGAAACATCTCTCTTAATGTCTCCTTTTCTTCAGCCGACGACCACCAGGCTCTGATCTGGGACATCCAGCAGATGCCACGGGCCATTGAGGATCCCATCCTGGCCTACACTGCTGAAGGGGAGATCAACAACGTGCAGTGGGCCTCCACGCAGCCGGACTGGATCGCCATCTGCTACAACAACTGCCTGGAGATCCTGCGTGTCTGAAGCCACGGACACTTAGATAAAGAAGAGAAGGAGTGTTGTTTCAGATTTGGACTTAACGTTTGTCCCTTAGTCCACTGCTTTCAAGACGGGGATGAAGTCACGACTGAACTTTGTGAAAGTGTTTTGGAGTATCACACACACCTACTCTACATTACCCTGGTTTACATTTTCTTCCATCGTTCTTCTATTAAACGTGTTTAAGCGCTTATTTATTTTGCTCACAAGGTAGTGTTTTCCGCACAGCTGCTGTAAGAAGCTTTGAACTTGAAGCAGTTGTCTACGAATATCCGATTTTTATACTTCTTGGTGTGATGTCAGCCAGCTGTGAGATTATCCTGAAGGGTTTAGATGTTTTGTGTTTCTTCTGTTCGATTTAAGGTTGATACGAACTAGTGTAGGCAGCAGAAGATGACCTCTCTAATACTTAGGAATATGTCGTAGCCTTCTCGTGGACTCAAAGATTCAAAGATCATTACTTTATAGTCTTGTTTACCCCTGTGGCAACTTAAGCTGTTCAATTTTTCAAATGGGTGTGCGTCCAGTATCCTCTCTCCAAATGATTGTAGTATCGAGGCTCGAACTTGTGACCCCGTACATTTTTTTTTAAATTGTAACATAACCCGAGGGATTCATATTGTCACTGCAGTGGTGTCTCCCATCATATGGTGTGTTTTAGTTTTTTTTCTGGTGATGCTGTGAGGCAGCCATGTACAGCAGCACTCTGAACCTACCAGAACAATATTCAACGTTCAGCCTTTTTAACTTCCTACTTATTCTTTTCTTCTTCCTCTTCTTCTTTCTTTGTAGAAAAGCTTGAAAAGCTGCATTTTCTTTGTGGAAGAGTGAGTTGTGAAATGGGAGGAGAATGAAACAACTTTCTGACTGTCTGCCTCTCTCTTTTTTTTTTTGGTTGTTTTTCAATAATTAAAGGGTCATGTCCTTGTAGCATGCCATTACAAGGCAAAATGTACATACATATAAATATATCAACTTGAGATGTTGGTAAGCCAAGTGTTCATGTTGTAGCTTTTTCATAAAGTTTATTATTGAATTTGCTCTAATAAATTGTATTCCTCCATGTCCTAGGAACGCACTTGTTGCTGTATTGCGTTTGGGGAATTTGCAATTGGTTTACAGATAATTAATCCTTTATGGAGGATGAAAATAAATAAAGATATAAATAGATGTATGAATGTATGCATAAAAACATGAATGAATAATAGAATAGACACCAAAATACATAATTAAATGCACAGAAAAGCTGCTAATTAAACAGGACACAAACAAATATATTAAATCTATTTCTACATATTTGTTCCCCTACATTTATTTTTGTATCTCTGTGTCCGTATGCGAATGAAGTCGGAGGTCCTACCCGGAGTCTAAATCAGGTTTGGGTAACAAGAGTGGGATTGATTCAGGTCCTCTACTTCTTCCTTTATTTAGGATTGTTGATTTGTTAACTTGCTACAGGCCTGACCATCACATTTGTATTTTATGTAACACTGGATTATTCATGGGAATTTTGTACAAGCCATTGCAAATGAAAGAAGATTTTCAAGCTGGTCAGCCACATCCCACAGCACGTTTCCCAGCAGCCTCCAGGTCAAAGCCGATAACTGCAGCTAACATCTGAGTCATGTAACTTTAGACCGAGGTTATTTTATGTATTAATAATTACATTTGGTTTCATCCTCCATAAATCCTTACATGGTATTACGAATTACAGTTTTTATTGCTTTTATGGCCAAAGAATGTATCTAAAGCACATGTAGGGGGCACCCGGATTTGAACCGGGGACCTCTTGATCTGCAGTCAAATGCTCTACCACTGAGCTATACCCCCTGATGTCTTCATCATGGGTGTTGATTGTGACTGACCAGTGTTTACCCCTCTTTCCTGCTGTTCCTTCCTACAGTCAGATTGTTTGGGTGGTGTGAATGTGTGTCCTTTATAGACAGAACAGCAAATTAAATTCTTATAATTTCCTAGAAGCCCACTTGATGGCTGCTACACAGGGTTACATACAAGATACAAGGGTTATCTTCATCAATCACCATCACTTTCAAATTATTATCTAATTACCAGTAAATCTTACTTAAGTAAAAGTAGTACTAGTACTAGATATTACTTTAAATTTAAAGTTATAGTTGTCATTCTCGAAAACTGGCCCATGACTCACATATTAGAATATATGACATCTTGAGTTCAGTGGAGCTGCTCAGTGGCCACAGATCAGACTGTGATTGTATGGGACAGCTTCCAGGTTTAAATATGTAACAGTTTGAATGTGATCACGGTGAGTCTGCAAAAACGAAAGGCTTCCTCACGGCGAACTTTCCTTGAATAAATAAAGGTTTAAAAAATGACCAGTGTATCAATAGGTAAGCAGCATTTTACTGTTGTTGAGATGGAACTACTTTTTTTAATGAGATTATTAATGAGAGAGGAAAGACAACAAAACAAAGTTCTGCATAAATTAGATTAGATTAGATTTTTAACTCTTAGGGCCTTGGATAGTTATTTGAATGAAACCATTTGAGAAGTTTACAGGTGAAATCTCTCTTTGGTGGAACTGCAAACAACTCATAGACATCTGGAGGCCCCAACTGGACACAGCCATTTAAGATTTCAAGGTTTGATCCCTCTTCTCTACTCTGTCTACTGATAACTGCTTCTCCAGTGACATTCAGCCAAGTTAATCAAACCAATGTCACTGTACCCCTTTAATATGGAAGCTAAATTGATATGAGGTAATTTTAAGTTATATCTACTGTGGGTTGAATTTGATTTACTGCATAACAAGGCATTTTATTTTAGGTGCCTAGTATAGATTTTCAAAATCTTAATCTACAAATTAACCACCAACTGTTTAATAAATGCACTGTGGTAAGAAATGCACCTGAAATGTAGTGAAGTAAAAGCATATGGTAGCATACAATTTACATAAATTAATGTTGTACTTGTAGCAATTGAGTAAATGTTTTAGAATAAAAGACATTAAAAATGATTTAGCACATTATCTGCATTTTCAGTGGATCATGCACCATGTGAGGCTTTGTTTATAGAGATGGGAATTAATGCTCATCCCCCCCATCAAATGCAGCTGCTTAACATGTCAAACCCTACCTTGGTTTGACTGCATATCCAACATGAAAAACATCCAAGAAATTCAAATCAGTCGTAGTTGCAATGTACACTTTCAGAGAGTTTATGTCTACTGTCACTTCGTCTGCACTGCATGTGACATTACATTTGGTGTTGCTTTGCGGAGTAATTAGAAAATAAAAGCATTTTGGACTCCCAGTGTAACTCTGCAGTGTGTCTTTAATCTAAAAAAAGATAAATAACAGGAAGTTGTGCTTCAAGAAACATTATACAGAATTATAAATGCTTAAAAAGTCATTACATTCACCTGGTGGTTGGAACTGTGAAATCATCTTAACAACGACGCCTTGAGACGATGTCTCTGTTTCTCTTGTGTGATTGACAGCTACCATCCACTTCACTTGTCACTCAGTTGGTGTAAAACAACCTTCAGCAGTTTTTCCTTTTACCTGTTTAAGTATCACAGTCTATCCTCTCTGTGAATCAAAATGTTTAGGGAGAACCTCTAATGCTGGCACTCTCAGATAAACACATCAGGTGCATTATGAAACCATGTGACCGTGCCAAAAAATAGTTGACACGTTTGAGTTGAACCGACACAGAAACAGGGGGAAACCAAGCAAAGCAGTCATGATCAAAACGAAACTGTAAGAGCTACGTGTAAATGTACAAGAAAACTATGATGTTTGTCTGCTCTGCTTGATTGTGTACTTTGCAATACCTTCTCTTGATCAAATGACACGCTCAACTTAAGTACTGCTGATTTATGTCAAAATGTCAGAACAGGAAATATGAGATGAAAATTATACTTTTTAAAGGAGTGCTTCTCCACCCACTGCACCACCCTCCTTCACAGTGTGCCAAACAGCAATAGGTATGCCTTTTGATATTTTTTTCAACAAACACCAAAACAACAATAGTGAGTCTCTATTTTATAACACTCATAGTTATTACATTTACTAGATGTAATGTTCTTAACGTGACCAATACATCTCTAATATTAGGAAAATAAATTCAGTTCCAAGTAAATGATTACATTTTTCTATGCTCAAGTCTAAGGCCTTTACTACACATATATGGATATTTTTCAAAGCGGATGTTTTCCCCCTACATTAAATTATCTCTGTACACACGAGAACGCAAAAAATAATAATAAACGGTTTCAAACACTCAAACACGCATGCCGAGGCCAGTAGGTGGTGATGAAGACTACGTCAACAATATGTCAAATACCAGAAAAGAACATTCTGAGCATGCGCAGTGAGCTCATTTTTCTTTAGCGGTAGTGACAAACAAATTGTTGCTAATTATTTATTTATAGTTATTGAACACCTTTCTGGCACACGGCCTAGCAGTGCTAACCAAACGTATACAAGCTGATAGTCCGCCATTGTTGTTGCGGTTGTTGTTACACCAAGCAACAATGGGCATGCTCAACAATCCGTACACAAAATCTGCACCTTAGAAAGCATTTTTAAAAATCTGACCTAAAACTTGTGTGTGTGGATGAGAGGCAAAAAAACATAGAGGAAAATGTTAATTTTGCAAAATATCCATATACGTGTGGAAAAGGCCTAAATGTGCAATTCTTATACAAAGTGAATGCAGATAATTCTTCAAATGTGAAACATATTAGTAGTCCTTGACATGTCACCCCTCTTCAAGGAAACCTGGGATGCAGTTTGTGTAGCTTTCAGATCCAGTGAATGCATGGCACATATATTTGGTGTGCTTATTGTCAACTCATGTTTCATAATCTTCCCACCCTGCTGGGCGGGAATAATCTCTTCATTGCACAGAACCTCGGGTGTGAAGGGACGCTGGAGCACAAAACCACAGCAGCCTGTGCGGGCGCCGTAGAGTCTGTTTGTTAGAAACAGGAGGCACTCTGAACCCTCAGTGACGTGGAAGGCAAGGCAGCCCACGCTCTACAGCAGCATCTGAACAGGACAGAGGAGTTTTTTAAGGGAGGAAAAAGGAAGTAACAGAGTGCGGAACATATGGCTGTCCCATCCAGAAGGTCCAGGCTTTTTAGGTGGTTTTGGTGTTCTAGCTGCCTGGCAAGACAGGGTCAGAGACATGCCTCTGGATCTCTTGCATCTCTGTAGAGGTCTCCAGGTGCTCAGGGAGGGAGGGGAAGCGCTGGCTGCCACATAGCAGTCCAGGAGGCTCTTGGGCCCCTGACAACTGAGAAGTGGTGAGGTCCGCAGAGGGCAGATGTGGTGGGTCGGCCTCCGGCGACATGGACATGGTGTCATCGGAGGCCACGGTGAGATGGATCCCGCTGGACAGGGAGTCCTTGGATTTGTGCTTAAAGTCAGAGTCTGGACTCTGAAAAGAAATTCAGAGATGATTTTAATTAATTAATGATCTGAATTTGATTTACACTGATTCACACTTAAAGGAATAGTTTGTAATTTTTGGCATTATTTGCCTTATTGCTGAGAGTTAGATGAGAAAATATGATTCCCCTCTACTGTAAAGATGAAGATAGAGCTACTAGTGTGCTTGGCTTTGCATAAAAACAAATGAGAATATTTCCCCCAACTGCTCCTTTAATTTACAAACTAAAGAATTGGCTTTACTTCAAGGGTTGATTGAATTGCTTGATATCACTGGAATTACTTCCAGACTTTAAGGATGTAAACCGAACACAACACCTGTAAGAGTGAGGCAGTGCTGTCGATCTGTACAGGCTGTATTGGAGGGACAGTGTGGATTGTAGGTGCTCCTGTGCTGTACAGGGTGGTGGGGTGAGGCGGGTGAGGGCTGGGGGACACAGCGCTGTAGGCTGGTGGCACCGGGGCCATCTGCCTCTGTAGGAGCTGCAGGATCACATTGATGTCCGCTGTCATACGGGTCTCCAGCCTTGGCAGAAGAAAGACAGACATCAGCAAATGTGACCTCGTTATTTTTATCTTCATTATCAGAAAAAACATACATAAAGTTCTGTTGATGTTGTTTTGATGCTGGATGAAACGCTTTATAATCCTTTTATAGTCTTCTCATCTGCTTTTTTCAAAATGTCCACTAGGTTTCTGTCTTGCTCTCATTACATTACCTCACTCTCTCACACACGTAGAAGCAGATGGGCAGTTAAAAGAAAGCATATTACTGTACATGGCTGATTTTAAAAACTTTTTTCCTGCATGTGTCATTCAACCTTGACCCTTTCTTATCTTTATTGGTCTTTCCTTTCTCCTCTTTCCTCCCTTTCTCTTATACACATGCAACTCACATTAGCACCATGCAAACAACCAGCTGGGAATTGATATGCAAACACAGCAGGAGAAGGAGGGAGGAACCTGAAGGTAAACAATGGTCATTGCATGATAATAATGAAAGGCACCGCCTGTGCTGAATAATGTTGTAAGGGGGTATAGCTCAGTGGTAGAGCATTTGACTGCAGATCAAGAGGTCCCCGGTTCAAATCCGGGTGCCCCCTCTTTAATTTCGTTCTTTTAAAAGCCGACTCACCGGTTTAACTGGGACTGCAACAGCTCCAGTCTGGATTCCAGTTCGCTGGGCCGATCCTCAGCACAGGGTGGAGGGTGGAAACTGGCCCTGACTGAGGACGACCGTCTCTGGCTCTCTGAGAACTGGCTCGCTCTGCGGTCTGGCCAGTAGCTATAAAGACCTGACATGCTGATAGGGGCTGCTGCTGTGCAGAAGAAGAAAAATCTTTCTTTAATTACAGAAACAACTTATTGACTGTTATTAACTAAAGTCATTAAAAATATGTAGGCAAGACAGACTGTCTCTGAGGACAGGTCAGGGTGTACTTAACAGCATTATTCTAGTTTGGATTTTAATTCATTAGGATAAATAAACCTCTCATTTTATTGTAGTTTCACTCGTTTAAGTGCAGGCATGATTTTAGTTATTTGTAATTGTACTGTTACTTTTTTTTTTACCTCTTTTATTCTAGCAGATGTTACTTTCACTTTTCTTCTCTTTAGTTTCAGTTGTGTTTTTACTGGTATGGGTAGGGTTGGAAACAGTTTATTATCCGTGTAACAGATATTTTGTAATAAGTCTAATTTTCTAATTGCTAGTTATTTCCAGTACTTGTGACTTATAGACTTGAATTCATGTTCTCTGTACCAGCATTAATTTTGTAAACGAAAACTATGATGAAAAATGTTCGTCAACAACCTTTTTTCTATGACTAAGATGAGACATTAATGAGCTAAAAATAGATCTTTTAACTAGGACGAAACGTATGTTTTGTTTTCATTGACAGGACGAGAAAGGAATAAAATGCTAGTGGTGGCCATCGGACAAAAAATACACGACATTTCCCCACAATTGTGTATCTAGTCTGTCAAAGTACAAACAATGCATCCCTGTCATTTATTGATGAGACGGGTACAGATTCACACTTGATACCGTCACCTTGATTTCAATTTCCAATACCAATACCTTTCCGATGTATTACCCTGATTGAATTAGGGATATTCAGGATGTACGTAGTCTTTACCTGAGTATGGTGGTCCTCCGAGGTCTACAGGTGGCCCCATCCCAGCTGAGGGTCCACTGTGAGGCAGGAGGTTGACCACTGCTGGTGGGTAGTCTCTGGTGTCACCCCCAGGGGGGTACAGCTCCCCCTTGCTGTGCCCCATGGGCTTCATCTCCTCATCACTGGACTGTGAACAGATGCTAGCACTGCTGCAGAGGTCTTCCCAATGGGATCCTGCCATTGTACCCCGGTGGTGGTTTGCCATGGGACAGGACTGATCAGGATAAGAGTCTTCGCGGTCCATGCCGTCTGTACAGACAGGGTCAAGGGTCAGCCAGGATAAGACAGTATGGAGATTAGATGGAACATAAACATTTGTGTTAGGCCTTGTCCCACACTCACCTGGTCGGTTCCGACGACGCAGCGAGCTTCTCCGATGCCTTGTCCGGCGGTAGCCACATTCAGAGTCCCTGCCCGGGGTTGTCTGGTTTATTCTATCTGCCTGATACATATCAGCTTCAGTAATTCAAAAATATACACCAGATCTAACACTTCAAGGACATATACATTCTTGGACTGTCTTACATCATTATGTATAATACATAACATACACATACAGTGATTGTGGGGTAGTGAAGCCAAGGACAATAGGCCTGGAGGATTTAGGATAGAATATTTCTAAGCCAGGTTAAAGGGCGAATAATCTCATGCGAGTAATGCAAGCAAATACAAACGATCCCGTGAGTAAACTAGCATGAGTAACGTGATGTGAATACACTTCCAGTTGGTAGGACCACACCATAAGGATGAGGATACAACATAAACATGAGATCAAAGAGTTTAAGCAGGTATGACCAAGTGATGATATCTTTTTGATTTTATTAACTACCCTGTGGAGTTTGTGACCATTTGCAGTAGTACAGAGCTGAGTTTGCCGTGCATAGACGCAGTTAAAAGCCATAGGTGGCCAATATGCCAATAAAATAGGAAAAGAAAAAGCAGATATTGAAAATGCTGATTTTTAAGCATTTTTAAAAAGGCTTTGCAAATGTTTCACGAGGAAAGAAATACATTTTGGCATGCTTGTGAGGCCTGATGAATACACACAATCGATCTTTCTTTACAATAAAAAGTCCACAGTGTACCTATTTAATTTATCTTCATTCATTAATTAATGAATCAAGGATCAAGGTACTTTATTTATCATTATACAACACAAAGTTTTACCACGAAATGAAAGAATAAGGAAACTGGTTTTCTTAGGCCTTGAGTAAAAAAAAGCACAGATTATGGAAAAGAACTGAGATCACTATAAGGTGTTCCTATGTGTAACATTGCCCTCTAGTGGCACTCACATCTCTCAGGTTGAAGGTGATCTCCAAGTTGTTCCAGAACATGTCGGCAAAGTCAGGATACATGTCGAGCACTTCCAGCAGGTCGTCTCTCAGGATCTTGTGAAGGTCGCAGTAAGTCAAAGCCCTGACGTCAGCACTAGACTTACCTGGCCTCCCATACAGACTGATGGGTTCACCAAAGATGTCATTCTTTCCTATGGACACCACAGCAAAAGGAAAGACACACATGGAAAAGAGTAACAGTTAATCAATAGATGTTTGACCAAGTGAGCAAGCCACTGCTAGTAATAGTGAAAATATTTTGATGGACAAATCTGATCCCAAACAGGAGTGACACTGATCCTCAGCAGCACTGCTACTCAACACAAATTGGTCCCCTCAAACACAGCTGAAAAAGAAATGACCTATGCAGACTGGATTTGACTGCTGGGCCTATTGATGATCAATGCCACAGTGAAATGGAAGTGGAGCTATGCCCAAACACCTCTGGCAACACAACACACAGAGAGTATGTGTGTGCGTATGTGTATTATATGGTGTAAAGGGTAGCGTGAGTTGTGGCTGCGGCTTGGTGGGAAAGAGGGTGGAAGAAAAAACAAATACTGTACTTTTCTGTTGTAATGGGCATTTGTCACTATTGTTAATTAATCAAATGAGTGACTGATAATGAAAATAATGTCTGATTTGCAACGCTACTGGAAAAGTAAGACAAAGTAAACAGAAGTTCCACTGTAGCTTGAAGCTCACCTAGTATGGCCACCACCACATCGTCCCTGAGGATTTCTATAGAGCCTCTGGAAATGAAGTAGAGGGCGGTGAGAATGTCCCCACTGTGGACCAGAGTGTCCCCCGGCGGTGCATGGGTGGTCTTGAAACGCATGGCCAGGGCCCGCAGGCAGCCTTTGTTGGCACCTCGAAAAGCTTTGCAGTTCTGCAGCAGGCTGCGGTTCAAATGGAGGCAGATGTCAGCCTGCAGACACTCAGGGAAACCCTTTAAAACCTGCAGGGCAACAGAGGGCACTGGGTGAATCTACTGCAAATGTTAATTTTTCCCCGCACTCATTTGACCTGTATCTTTAAAGCCACGGACAAAGCAAAATTAGTCTGAAAAGTACATAACAAAGAAACTGATGGGTGAGAGAAGGAAAGCAATGTGTCAGATTGATTCAGGCGGGCCACAAAGGACAGTGCCTCCAAGTGATTATCTATTCTCACATTGAATTGGCAGGCGCTAATGCGGCTCTCTAGCTGCATCGTGCTCTGGTGCTGCTGGCAGCCCAAACTCAAGCAGAGATATGACGCACATCATCATGAAAAAAGTAGTCTCTCACTGATGAAGCTTCAGTGGAAACACTAGTGTGTGTTTAAAAGCAAAGGGGGCACCCAGAGTTGAACTGGGGACCTCTTGATCTGCAGTCAAATGCTCTACCACTGAGCTATACCCCCTGCTGAATGTCATTCCAGCGATGATTTATATGATCTGAATCCAAAAACCCGTTTTTCTGAAGTAAAAAGAAAAAGCTGACTCTGATAAAGGTTTTGTTGGTAGGCAAAGAAAAAAAAGATTTTTTATTTTGTAAATTCACTTGCAAAGCAACATAGACAACGTGGGTTTGTGTTCATCTGAGTAAAGATTAAATGAAAGTTCAGTGTGGGAAAACTGGGTCAGTGCCGCTGCAAAGAATAAGGCAAACAACCCATGTAGGTCAAACACATAATATCAGGTACTGTAATGCTGCAGATGATTACAGCAATGAGATGTATAAAAATACATCCAGAATTTGTTAAGCTATACATTTTGTAAAGCATTTAAAAAAAAAAAAAAAAAATAAAGAAATATATGAAATGTATTATTATTCTTAACATTCACTTCAGTGCCTCAAATTCTAATTATTAAGGCAAATTCTTTCAATGAGATATTTTGGGGACAGCATACTAAATGCATATATAGTTGTATAGTATATATGTTGATGATTAATGGACAAATAAGTAGATGTTTGTACTTTAAATGCCTGGAGGTTTGATTCAGGCATAAATAAAGAATTTTATGCAGAAATTAAACCATGGATTGTTGGTTCATCTCAACACTGAATCCAGCTGAGTGGGTGGTATAGCAGTTGTGGTTGGGGATTATGTAGACAAAAAGCTTACATCAGTTGTTTGGTTGGAGAGGGGGCACCCAGAGTTGAACTGGGGACCTCTTGATCTGCAGTCAAATGCTCTACCACTGAGCTATACCCCCACCCTCACAACCACTTTGAGCAACACCTCCTTCTTTTTTATGTACCGGCTAAACATCCATTTTCCAACAACTAGCGTGTGCATTAATGTCTACATGACTTACAGCGTTCATGTCGATGCCGTTGGTGTAGGACCAGGCATGTTGGAAGTACTCCTCCAGCCTCTGTCGAAGGCCTCCTGGGATCTGGTGGAAACGGATGAACTCTTTGACTCGTAGCATCTGGGTGTGGTAACGGGCAGTGCCTGAGTACAGTCTCTGAATGATGGCCGACACGTTACCAAAGATACTGGCGTACATCAGAGCTGCAAGGGATAGACGACAGAAATACTGTATGTTGCAGGAATTGATGATACCAAAATTGCATAAATGTTACATTTTGCAAGTAATAAATTTACTCTTACAAAACAATCAACAGCATCCAATTAGAAGATATTGAGGAAATTAAAAGACATTTCTGTATCTCAAATCAAAGTGCTTTAGCAACCTGCTGATTGTGCAGCAAGCTGTCCTTTGAAAATTATGAAATCGATGAAATTTTGTTAATTGTTTTGGTCATTAGAAGTATCAAGATTGTCTGTCACACTTTCATTAGACTGATAAGTCAGTTTACCAGTATTTAAGAACAATATGAATTTTGAAATAATAGAAACATTAAAATAATAGGGAGTGGCCTGTTATGCTATTTATTTAATTGTCTGATAACATTTCTATTTTAAGATATAATCTACTACACCAGAGTTTAATGTGTGATCAAATACATGCAGAGAGGTAACCCCCTGAAGAATTTCATTATTCAGTAATTCAGTGGAAAATGTTAGCGTCCCATTATTATGTAAGTTCTGGTCTACATTCTTTACCACCATAACAAACATATACGTCTATGTGAAATACAAAATGTTTGTATTTTATAGCATGAAAATATGAACCATATAAAGACATGTCAAATATTGGCAAAAAATGTTCAGGTTACAAAAAAGGATTCAACAACCTTTTCAAAAAGAGGTTTTGACACTGATTCTGTTTCTCTCTTGCAAATGCAGAAAACTTCATCATTAAACTATAACTGTTTTAATTATTTGTTTTATAGGGTGATTGCCCTAAAAGCCTACTCACAGCCAATGAGCATGACACAGATGGAGAAGATCTTCTCTGGGTTGGTGTTAGGTGAGACGTTCCCAAAACCAACACTGGTCAGGCTGCTGAAGGTGAAGTACAGGGCTGTAACATACTTGTCCTTGATTGAGGGGCCAGAGGCTGCGTCACTGTCATTGTACTGTTTACCAATCTGGTCAGCCAGGTTGTCCAGCCAGCCGATCTTCATGCCTCCAATGCGAGCAGAGCCTGTGCGCTCCACGTTACCAATAGCATACCAGATACAGGCCAGCCAATGAGCGATGAGGGCGAAGGTGCACATGAGGAGGAAAAGGACGGCAGCTCCATATTCTGAGTAACGGTCCAACTTCCTGGCCACTCGTACCAACCTCAGCAGTCTGGCTGTTTTCAGTAATCCAATCAGAGTGGTTGTCTGAGGCTGGTGGAGAGAGAGAGTAAACTTTGTGTTAGTGATATAAGCAAGCTTTTGGTCACAGTAAAATGAGTTTGAACCAGTTTATTGAGACATAAATTGACGTTTCTAGCATGCAAAGAATTGACATATAAAAGGGCAAATCAAATTATTGGTCAAAATAAAGCAAAAACCCAACTTAAACAGAAACGGTATGATAGCCTGACACTCAATTCTCTCCACCCCACCACTAATATCATAATGCTCAGGCTGGGAAAACCTGGATCTGAAAGTCGGTGCAATCAATGAACTGCAATGACATTTAGGCAACAAATGGATTCACTGTCTCAAAATTGACAATTGGTTCTGCAACTGCATGTCTTGTTTCCAATTAATTGAACAACCAATTCTATTTGACGGGTTAATGTCTCTGTAAAGTAGTATGCAACCTTGTATTGTTAATTTAGCTTGAAGGTGACTAATGAGAGTCCTACACACTTAGCCGGCCTCTGGAAGTTTCCTTAATTGGTCTTTCTGAAAAGTTTAATCAATTAATTTGATTTTCTGTACATATTATCTACTATTGTGCTGTAATTTTACTGTACAATAGTAAACACAGGAACAGTTGAGATAGAGACAGAAAACACAGGGAGAGAGAGAGGGGTATGACATGAAACCATCTCCCAAACCAGATTCAAACTGAAGACGCTGTGCTTTTATGGTATGCGTCTCGCAGGATGTGAACACTTTGTCATTTCGACGAAGATAAGAACCATAAGTCTTTTGATGGGATTGAACAACTAAATGAGTTCTAGGAACAGAGCCATCATTAATGTAATTCGTTATAGGCCGACCTGTTATGCTGTTTGACCTTTTGTCTGTTATGAAAAAGCTATATTTAACTTTGTCAGACAACACTGAGAGAAGTAAAAATATATGTGTTGATGTTGCGAAGCCACTGACATCCGCTGTCTCCTCTTGTTTCTCACCTCCTCAGACCCCGAGCGGAATATGAGCAGATCGAAGGGGATGGCAGCCACAATGTCGATGAGGAACCAGCCCTTGAAGTAGTGCTGTGCAATGCGTCCCGGGTGGCTGACCACCTCGTCATTGTGGTTGACATAGGTGGTCCTGAAGTTGATGAGGATGTCCACGATGAACATGACATCCACCACCAGGTCCACCACGTTGAGAGGGTTGCAGGTGTAGCCGCAGGTTCTCCTCCGCTCTTCCTCCACCTCGTTGAGGAGGAAGGCGGCCGAGTATGGCGTGAAGATGGCGGTGTAGATGACCAGCAGCAAGATGACCCAGTCCCATACCGCTTTGAAGGGGCTATAGTGAAGGATTGTCCATTTGTGGATGCGTGGGGCCTGGAGCTTGTACTCTGGCAGCACGTCAGCACCGAGGGACAACACCTGAGGAGACAGGGACAGGATGGTGAGGATTTTTATCAATAATGGTGGTTGGATAGTAGGATCCAAAACTATGTGTTGATGTATTTTTTATAGTGACTGAGCTGAAAACATTTTACTACATGAAGCATAAATTTCAAACAGGAAAGATTTTTTCTTTCCGTTAGTTGATTTATCTGTTGAGATTGAGAGGTGATGGAAAGTGCACACTTAAGCAAACACCGTAATAAGCAATAGCTGGATACTAAAACAATCCAAAAGGATATAAATTGCTTTTCAACAAGAAACAAATTAAATATTAAAACATATAACAAACATAAAAACATATAACAGACTAAAATCCCAAAAAGTAATGCTTCATTACTGAGACACTGACATACAGCTGTAATTAGTGGCTGCTGCACATACTATGTATTAATGCTTGTTTGTAGACACTATGTCAAAGCCAATCAATGTATGATGTTCTGAGCCTGAAGGTAAGTAACAACTTCCTCAAAAAGACTCTCACCACGTTTAGCAGGAGACAAATTCACTGCCGTTTAAGAGCGACCTATCCATACTCAGTCAAATTATTAACGCAGCAAAAAGAAACAGAAACAACTCCAGCCGTTAACGAGGCAAAAAAGACCAATATACAAAATCTCCATCCAATGCTGACATCACTCCCTGAGGGAGTTGTCTAATTGCATCAACGGGCAGACCAGCAGAAAACAGTAACAGTGAGTGAGTAAATTCAGTAAAGCAATGAGTATTAAGATCCCACTAACCGGCACGACAATTAGAGCCTCTGTGTCCAGGTTCTCATCCTGGTGTTGGTTGCAGCAGCAGAGGAGGAGGTTCCTCCAAAACCTCTGCAGCCCTACCTGCCTGCTGTGTAGTGGCCATCTCCTCTCCTGCATCGCTCTTGCAGAAAAACAACACTTATACAAAAACCACAAACGTGGCTCCAACAGTGGCTCTGTGTATCTCTAACCCCTCTCCACAGGCACTTTACTAAGTCAGATCACTAACTGCTGTTTTAAAGAGCCCACTGCAGCCTCACCTGCCTCTGTTGCACCTCGTGATCCCCATTTTATCGAGACCACGTGACCCCCTCCTACCAGTGTTCTGCTCAATTGTGGACCAAAATAAAGTGCCGGCATCGATTGGGCGACATGCAGAGCAGTGATTTTAGTTAATTCTGGGTAACTGCAAGGTCAGGACTCTCAGCTTTATTTATAGAGCTCATTTCATTACAAAAAACACAATGTGATACATTTTAAAAAGACATAAAAACATCAAGTATATGCAACAGAGTGGTTTAACAAAACACATACATACATACACACAAGGTTGACAGAAACACACACAAAAGGTTTTGAGCTTAGCTTTAAATGTAGATACAGTTTTTTATATATCACAGCTCATCAGGCTTCTTGAGGGCAGGTCCACAGTAACTCAAGTAACCTTTACCAGCTCCTGATTTTATTCTGGGTACAGAAAGCCAAGGTTTGTATACCTGAGAGGTCTGATGGGGATATAGTCAGTGAGTAGGTCAGATAAATACTGGGGAACTGAACTACAGCCTTAAAAACCAATAGGAGGATTTTACAGGGAATTATCTGTTAATTAGGAAGCCAAAGTAATTTAACTATTGGAGTATTGGTGATGATGTTCTTTTGTCTTCCTGTTAAATGTTTTGGTTATCCAGAGAAAAGAGCATTGCAGTCATTTAATCTGTTCTAAATGAATGCATGAACAAGTTTCTCAGAAACGGTTTGTGATCTTTTTACTTTTGATATATTTCTCAGGTGGTTGATTGATGATCTCATAATATTTGAAATGACTATATGTGAGAAAGCTCTCCTCAAACAAACCATCTCTATAATTCAATATTTGTTATTTCCCATTGCTAATATTCATACCTACACAAACTAGCCCATGCAAAAAATGCTGCACATTGTTGTTTTTCCATGTTCTCTCGAACCCTCCAGTGGTTAGCCCCTCATTTGCATTTTTAGTTTGCATGATAATGGTCCGAGTCACTACGACAAAAGAAGCTGGACTATGATGATTGGCTGCCATGTCTCTACAACCAAACACTCACACAGGAACCAGGAGGAAAGTTCTTCGAAGAAAACTTTCCCAGCCTAGACTTTTCCCAGCCTAGACGAAAACAGTGGCCAGAAATTGCCAAATTAAACTGCTTCTCAAGGACAAAGTATTTCATCAAAAAGTTACTAAGTGTGTACTTGGCCATATTTGGTAAATAAAAAAGCAGGGGGGGATAAAGTTAGATATTCACAAGGAATAACCAAGGCTTGTTTGGTTTTTATTGTTGCATGCAATTGCCTTTACTGACAGAGGGATGTTTTATTTAATACTGTATTTGGAAACAAGGTTAAGGTGGGAAAAGAGCATTGCAGGCAACTGACCAGTGACCACAGTGGCTGAACAGATGTGAAAAGACAACACGGTAATGATAATGTAAACACATGAGCAAATGTTCACTCATCCAAGAAATGTTAAGTTATTGATGTTGTCCACTCTGTTTCATAATGATGGCCAGAAAAAAACTGCAACCACCACCAGTTCGCACGCAACAGCCCTCTGTCACTTCTCTGACTTTATAATTAACATATAACGTTATGTGACTGCCTCCTTAAATAAAGAGTCATAGTAATATACTAAAAGTTCACTGTTTATACATTTTTATATTAGATTGAAATTATATTTGAGGCATCAAGTAAATACTGAACAGGATATAAATCATGAAACTGAGTGTGAAATATATGGAACTGCTCCTTCTAGGGCATTAAAAGTAAAAAGTACAGCTTGAATACTAAATGTTCACAATCATAAAACTACAGATATGATTATGGATTTTAGTTTATCTGCTATGAAAACAAAAGGACCCAACATTTATCCTTATTTTTTAATAAATTCACAATGCAAAGTGCAAAAACTCTCACATGTAACACATTCAAGCCACTGCATTCTCTGTCTCCTGTCTTATTTAACTCTAAACATGAACACAACACCTATGTTTGTACGTGAAATCCTTCAGTAAAACAGGAGCAACTCAAGCAAAATGTTATGAAAGCAAAAATAAAGTGAAAATAGACTGACAAGACCTTGCCAAGGTGACATGGCATCAGCTTAAGCTGGATGTGAAAGCTTACGTTGCTCACCTGTGGAGCTACAGTAGGTAAGCAGTAATGGCAAGGCACAGGATGAAGACAGAGAGAGGGAGGAAGAGTTTGAAAAGGTACAACGGTAGCAAACAAACAGGGAAGTGGAACAGCAAAAAAAAAGAAGGCGGGAGCTTGAGAGACCCAGTAAGGCTGAGGTACTCACAGGCTGCAGTTTATGCTTGAAGCTCATGCTGAAGCGCACCACCACAGGGTAAACAGCGGGAGAAGACCAAGAGACAATAAGCGAGAGAGAGAGGGAGACGGTAACCATCCGTTTGTATCTCCCTCCCTCCTGCTCCCTCCCTCATCCTCCCTGTCTATAGCCCAGCCCTCGTCGTGGGATCCTCTTTCAGACATAAAAAAAAATTATCCAGTGGCTCTATGAATGACGGCATTCGCCTCCTCCACTGTTGTTGTTTAACAAGCAATAACTTGATGTATTTTAGCATAATCTTCTTTAAATCAGCAAATTATTGTCTTAATGTTGACATAGATGGGTGTATCAAAATTCATGTTGTACTGTTTCTGAGTTACTATAAATTACTCAAAGTAATTGCAGGTATTGTTGCAATATATGTATAAACAATGACTGTATTGTTATAATAATTATTAATGATATTATAATAATATTATGTATTGTATATTTGCCATGCATGTTTTGTTTTTTTGTTTTTTTTTACATTTTTGTGAAGTGCCATACATTAATTGACTGGTTATATATAAAGAAAGCAGAAAAAAGCTCACAGGCAGATGCAGGCTAGTCTATTGAAGACAGGAGCGTAACGCAACCTCCTCCTGAACTTGTAATATCCAGTGGTTGCTCTTGAATAATGAGTTTGATCAGTTAATGTGTTTAGATCAGAATACTTTTATGTATTTATGTATGAATTTATAGTGAATTAATACACTTCAACTGTGCACCTTTCAAAAACACATACAATTCTAGTAAAGTCAAACTGCATCCAGATTCCTCTACAGCCTCCTGTTGTAAGCTGATTCAAAGCCAGGGGGCACCAGATAAACACATTTCAGCTTTCCCGAAACGCACAATACAGACACACACACTACGTTACAGTGTGCTGGGGCTTTTCTACAGTTACCAGTCTTTTACAAGCTACAGTCAAATCAATTACACTGTGTGCTTCATGTTATGCAGACAAATCAATACGAACAAAGATCAATGACAACCTTCATTTCCCTTTCTGTAAGGTGCCAATCGAAATCCAATTATAAAGGCAGGATAATGAAAACTTTTATTGTATAACAGAACATAACCAAAAGTAAAAGCAACATATGCTCATAGATTCAGTTACAAGTGAACAACATGATAACTCTTTAGAAAACTTGCATTTGGTGTGATTATTGACCACGGCTTACAGTTTGTTCCCACGTGGCAGCAGCAACGATTATTGTGACCTAAAACCTGACCTGCAGGGCTTGGCATTTGTCTGTGACCCCACGACTATGATACCACAGTTAGTCAATTCCAGCTGTTTTAACAGGACAAAAACTCCAGCTGGAACCAGCATGAAGACGGCTAGAGGGGACTGAAGTGTGATTTAGAGGGCAGCTGGAGGTTTGACAGATGCACAGAGTGCAAGCCCGCTGCCCTCCACTTCCATTAGCTCCAGAGGCCAAGGTCACTGACAGCGTCAGGCCAGCGAGTGCCGCTCAATAGCCTCACAGCTGTCGCCCTTTTTACTCGCTTTCATAACTACATCTCACCAGAACCCCTTTCCACTCTAACAGACAACTTCACACTCTGTGATTCCCACACACACCCACACAATCTCCATATACATCCTCACTAACACACAACAGTGAGCCCCT